GAGAGAGACAGATAGATCTTTTTTGAAATGGCACAGGGATCTTTCTGAAAAAGTTTGTTCTGGTTAAGAAAAAGACTTTAATTTTTGAATTTGTTAAACATACAAGTTTTAAAACATTTGGTCAAGTAGGATCATAGGTTACTGTGAAATAATACTTAATTATCATGATGGCAAAGACTACAGACAATACAGAAAGTTAAATAGTTGTTAGCAAAATTTTGCTTTTTTAAAAAATATATTTTTATTGATTTCAGAGAGGAAGGGGGGAGAGAGAGAAAGAGAAAGAGAAACATTAATAATGAGAGAGAATCATCAGTCGGCTGCCTCCTGCACGCCCTCTACTGGGGATCGAGCCCGCAATCAAGGAACATGTCCTTGACTGGAATGGAACCCAGGACCCTTTAGTCCATGAGCCAATCTATCCACTGAGCCAAACCAGCTAGGGCAAATTTTGCTTTTTTTAATATTAAGACTTGGTTTACCCAAGCAATCAAAGATCTGATGATAGAGAGCAATAACATACTAGTTGTACAGGAAGACTGTCTTTTTAACAGATGAAATCACATTGAGTTTTAATTTTATGTAAGTACACAGTTGATATTAAAGCTTATAATACATTCCAGCTTGATCATACACAAAATTTTCTTTCTCAAGATTTCTTTTCACAGCCCTAGCTGGTTTGGCTCAGTGGATAGAGCATCAGCCTGTGAACTGAAAGGTCCCGGGTTTGACTCAGGTCAAGGGCACATGCCTGGGTTGTGGGCTCAATCCCTCCCCACAATGGGGGACTTGCAGGAGGCAGTCGATCCATGATTCTCTCTCATCATGGATGTTTCTATCTCTTTCTCCCTCTTCCTTCCTCTCTGAAATCAACCCTGGCTGGTCAAGGCTTTAAAAAAAAAGATTTATTTTTACATACCTACAGCTTTCCTCGTGATTCCCTATATATGCATTTCCATATTTACGTTCTATAACTGAAAACATGTATTCTACTTTCCCTTATTATTCTTAGTATTTTTTTTAACCTCACCCGAGGATATTTTATTTATTTATTTATTTATTCATTCATTTATTTATTTATTTATTTTTGAGAGAGAGAGAGAGAGAGAGAGAGAGAGAATGAGAATGAGAATGGGGTGGGGGGGAAAGAGAAACATTGATGTAAGAGAGATCATCCATTGGTTTCCTCCTATAATACTTTCAACAATAACACTTTTTTAAAAGTCTCAAGTCACCAAAAAATTCAAGAAAACTAGCTCTGAGCATTAACATTTACTTGAAGTCTGAAAGAATAGCTGTATTACCAAGGCTTTGACTGAAATGGTATTGCAGGTCCAATCTGATGGCCAGTCATTGGCTTTGAGAGTTTAGTCTGAGATTCCTCATGAAAGGGTCCAGAAAGCAGTGTTAGAAAGAGATGATATGATCAGTCACTATTTTTGCTGCACTTATATTAATGAGTGAAGCCAAGTTTAATGCAAACAAATTAGTTTTACTGTGATCATCTTTGGTTTAAAAAAAAAGAATTGTCGAGAAAAAATAATGTTAGTACCTTTGTAGATACTAGTTTCTAGTCCTATTGACTGCCTTTGAGGTTTTGTCATATACTGTAAACTGGACTGGATCCTGACTTCTCCTCTCCTCAAAGATCTGGCTATGACTGGCTCCCAAGTGCACTCCAGACAGTGGAATTATCCTGCTCCCAGTAATCATAGTAATCATCCTAGCACACTGTAGTCTCTCAAAGGCTTTAAGTGCATGTTCTCAGTGGCTCACCACCAAGCAGATGATCTTCCTAAGCCTGGAACATCAAAAAAGAAATGAAGAGAATAACCAACTTCAAAATAAACCTGAAAAAAAAAAGAAAAGCAAGGGATGTACTGAAAAACAAAAGTAGACAAATTCCTATCTTTATGAAGTGTAGTCTAATTTTAAAGCCAGATATTAAGTAATGATACAAAAATATAAAATGTATAATTATTTATAATGAAATAGTTTTCTATGAAAATTTAAAGTAGGAGGTTAGGTAAGGTGTCCTGGAGAAGTGAAAGCAGAAGCAAGATTTAAAGATTAGGTGGTGGAGAGGAAGAGGAGAGGGTTAAGGGGTGTTCCCTGCAAATAAAAGACGTGAAAAGGCCTTTGGCTGGTTTGAACATTAAGTAAAGGAACTGAAACAATGACAGTATGGCATCAAATTATGTTACCATATAAGGCTAGAGAGGTAGGTCAGAGCTAGGTCACAAAAGGTTTTTGCGGGCCTTGTTCGAGATCTTCATCTGTGGTATCCATTGGAATAAATCTGACTAATGGGAATCCATTGAAGAATAAACAGAAACAAAACAAACAAACAAAAAATGAACCTGAAGTCATGATCTGGGAATACCAAAGAGAATCAGAAGAAGAAAAAAAATCACACAGAGGATCAGTAAAAGCTGTGAGAACTATAGAATAGTGGTCGCTGAGAGTGTGCAAATGCCTTAAGTTTTAACCACATCTCTCAGGCTGAGACTCTGAGCAAAATGGGTGAATTTGTTTAAATAAATAAACAAACAGACAGACACAAAATACAGTCACTTGTCCCCAGAACAGCAAATCAAGATTTTATTGTAGTTTCCATCTCTCCCAGGTTCGTGACCTTTAACCAGTCAATATGGCATTTCCTGATTAGCACTACTGAGGTGATCTGCATGATAGACCCCCTGCCCTTTCCCCAAAGGAAGGTGGCTTGCTTGTCCCACCCCCTTCTAGCCTTTAGAAACTTTGTGCTTCCCACAGCTCCTCAGAGATCTTTTCTGTTTGCTGGGTGGGACGCTGCCTGATAGGTGAATCATTTAATAAAGTCAATTAGAGTCTTCAAATTTACTCTGTTGAATTTTTGGTTTCTTTTAACATGTCCCTCATGGCATTAACATTTTTTTAAGAAAAGCAGTTATGGCTCATGAAATATATTTGACATATAACACTGTAAATTTAAGGTGTACATGTTAATTTAATACTTACATATAATATGATTGCCATTGTAGCAATAATTAGCTCCTCTGTCACTGCATAATTATCATTTCATTTTAATGGTTGGCATAATTAAGTTGTAGTCTCTTAGCAAGTTTGACGATGGTACTACAATATTATTGTCTATATTCACTATACTCTGTGCTAGATCTCTATGACTTACTTGCTACTTGTTGCAAGTTTGTACCCTTAAACCACACCCCCACCCCCGTTTCTTGTGATTCTTGATGTGCTTATGATTTCTTGTTTTTGTGGCCTTGTTTAGGTACCACATTTATATGAAGTATGCAGAATAGTTAAGTCCATGAAGACAGAAAGCAGATTGGTGGTGCAGGCACTGGAGGAGGGAGGAAAACTGCGTAAATGACTATGTGTTTCCTTCTGGGATGATGAAAATGTTTTGGAACTAGATAGAGGTGGTGGTTGTACAACATTATAGATTTTCTAGATCCCTTTGAATTGTTCACTTCAGAATGGTTATTTTTATGTTATGTGAATTTCACCTAAAATTAACTTTAAAAAATCCCAGTGTGTAAATGGTTTTGCTGCACTCCCATATACAGACCACAGATTTCTCAGCAAATAGAAATTCCATTAAAAAACATATTGCATGACAATTGCAGTGATTTCTAATAATTAAAATAATAAATAGGAATTACAAAATGATTTTTGGTGGCAGAATTGATATGCAGAAGAATCTATTATATTCCCATCATTAAATATTTAAAGTATAATGTATTATGTACAATTTTGCACTTTGAAAAATTCCCATGTTTGGGATGGATGTGAAAAGACAAAAATCCAATTTGAATGAATTTTTAATATTAAATAACAGTTTTTCTAAGAACAAAAAATTTAGTTCATTACGTTTAAACATTAACTACAGTAGGTTAAAATTCTAAGTCGAGGTAAGAATCTGGATCGCTTCTCTTCCCTGAATGTGTGTAGTCCAGGTTTTCCTATTATTTACTTTTTACCTTCAAGCTAAACTCCCACATGGAACTCACTTCACTGTTTACTAGATGTGACCTTGTTACTTTCCTTTTTAAAAAAAAAAAGTTTATTTTTAATTCTCACCTGAGGATGTATTTTTATTGATGAGAGAGAGAGAGAGAGAGAGGGAGAGAGGGAGAGAGGGAGAGAGAGGGAGAGAGAGAGAAACCTCAATTGGTTACCTCCTGTACGTGCCCCAACTGGGGATCAAACCCACAACCTAGGTATGTGCTCTGACCAGGAATCTAACAACCATTTTGTATACAGATGATGCTCCAACTAACTGAGCCACCTGGCCAGTGCTACCTTGTTTCTTAACCTCTCAATTCCTTTCTCTCATAAGTGGGAGATACATCCCTTGCCACACTTGTGTGGATTAGAAGACAGGCAAATGTTTAGCACACTATAGTAGATACCTAAGAGTAGCAATGATGATTATCCAAGGATTTAAGAGTGTTGTCAGGAAAAGTAAGTCTTGGCTTACTGTAATGTTACTCTTTTGCAACCATTACAGTCTATAGAAACATAAATGTATTTTGAAAAATATTTTTCACACGTATAAAGTTAAGCTTTCTAAATCTGTTTTTGAAAACTGATGTACATGCAGTTCTGTAATATGTCTCTCAGCCATGGTTTATAGTGGAACCTCAGTTCTCAAACTTAATTCGTTCCAGATGCTGCTTGAGAAGCAATTTGTTTGAAAACCGAATCATTTTCCCCATTAGAAAATATTCACAGCACAATTCCCTGAGATGCTAACAACGCAAGGTTTAGCAGTAAACTGATTCATATTCTTGAATTATCTCCTTTGTCACCTGTGTGATGTGTGACTTATCAGCAGGAATACTAAAGGTTATTACAGGTTATTAAGTTGAGAACCGAAGTTTTGTTTGACAACTGAGACATTTTTTCCATGAACAAATTGGTCGAGAACTGAATTATTTGAGATGGGAGGTCTGAGAACTGAAGTCTGACTGTATTTGCTTTGTATTTCGCAGGTGAAAGAAAAGATGTTGTCCCGGTTAAGAGTAGTTGCCACTCCTTGTTCTCTGGCATGCCGGCGTGTACACACAAAAGAGAAAGGCAAGCCCCTCATGCTGAACCCAAGAACAAACAAGGTTAGTAACACGACTAGTGACGTACCTTTTCTCTTGTCCCAATGACAGTTTGATTTATATATTTTAGACGGATAAGTGAAACTTTTCTGTTTTGTAGCTTTACAATAAAACTATTTGGAGGTATTTGCTTTTTCTGCATGAACTTTTCACGTTTCTCCATATGGCAAGAATCATGGCTGCTTTATATCTCTCAACTCACAACTTCTACCACTAGGAAAGACTGACTATTTCCTAGTCCTAGCTCAGAAAAACCCACAGAATAGCAGTCTGGCCAGGACTTTTGATGTAGGATATTTAGATTTACCCAGTTTAGATCAAGCACTCATCCTGGACCAATCAGTTGGGCCCTTGTAAGATGGGGTCAGAATTGTAAAATGAAATTTTTATGTAGCATCTGCCCCACCTTCGCACAGCTTTTTGCACACAAATCATTACAAGCAAGTGATTGTGCCCATTAATCACACTCTTGCTTCAAAAACAGAGACCTCTCACTCTCTTTACATTCTTGGGGCAGAGATGATGGCAATATTGAGATCTAGTTGTGACTTTATTCCTTATCCATGCTGGGTTCAGTGGGCATTCCCTCTCCATATTCCAGGAACAATTGTAAGTAAATGAAATAGTAAGTAAATAATTCTGGAATGAGATTTTTTACAGGAAGCTTGCAAGAGGATACATAGGTTTATTGCAATATATGAAATTTACCTTTTGAGAATGGTGCATTCGTATTAAGGTGTGGTTTATTTTAAAACAACAGTAAGAAATTTGCCAGTCCCATATATTTTCTCTTATGGGGTGGGGGGACAATAATTGGATAGTATGATATGTTTTGAGGGGGTTGGGGTCTACAAAGGGAAATTTGACTAAGGGTCACACAGAGTACTTTATCTCTGCATTTTTGGTACCTGGCTAGAATGAAAATTGAGCAAGCAATTAGTGAAGTAAATGAAGCTTAATGAGGCATATCCTCTCTTGTTTCTGCTGCCTCTCCACATATCTTACTTGCTCTTCAAGATGCAACTCATTGAGAATCCCGCTCTGTAGAGCCTTTGCACACCCCGTAGGCTGGGATAACTGCTCCCTTCTCTAAACCCTGCAGCAGTGCCTATCTTCCTCTTCGGTGGCACGTCATCTGGATGCTGGCTTTGTGCTTCTTTTCATGTCATAAGCTGCTGTTGAAATAATTGATAGTATTTACATTTTCATGACTTTGTATTTTTTAACTATATTCCAGGTTCTTCTTGAGCAGGGACCATTCAAAATTTCTTTGTATCTTTTATAACTCCATGGGCATAGTAAACATTTGATAAATATGTTGGTTTTCTTTTATTATAGAAACTATATAAACCTACTTTTTGTGGGGGTTTTAAGAAATATATAAAGTATGTTGCAGGGAATGAATTTTAAGGAGGAAGATAGTCTAAATGCATTACAGTACCTCTATAAAGAAAAGAAATTCTAATACTCTGGCCTTCTGAAATCTCTGTGGTGGAATAGCATCTATACGGTTACCTCATTGAAGGACCACTTCTGGAAATCTCTTAAACATCAGGAAGAGTTTTTTGTTGTGGTTGTATATTTAAGGAGGAACATAGACTAGTGATTCCCATTTTGAGGGTCATGAACTCCTTGGGGACTTACCACATAAAGAAGGCAGGTTCATGCGTCAAACCTTGTAGATTAAATGACTTTTTAAATGTTTATAAGTACTGTTTTAAGAGTATGTTGCTGCTGTGATTAATAAGCTAGTAATTAAAGGCAATACTGAATTCTTAATCCTTTTTATTATTATTTTGTTGTTGAGAGTATTACAGATGTCCCGTTTTCTCCCTTTTTTGTCCCCCTCCACCAAATGTATATCTGCAATCACTGTCTACTTAAGGTATACCTGTTATTATTTCTGTAAAACTTTTTTATTATGGTAAATTGAACATGATTTAAAATTATGCAATTCAGTGACATTAAGTACATTCAGTATTGTGCATATGTTGCCACTATCAATTTCCAAAACTTTTTACTATCGAAATGGAAACCCAGTACACATTAAGCAGTCTCTCCCCCACTCCCCCTTTCCCTTCCTAGCCCTGGCAACCACTACTTATTTTCTGTTTGTATGAATTTGAATATGAAATTTTTAATATTTTTTAGAAGTCCTTCTGCTTTAAAGGATTGGACATCATTATGGTGCAGACTAGATGCTAATTTGAGCTCTGCCATTTACTAGCCAAGAAACTTAGGAAAGTCATTTAAACCTAAGTTTCAGTTTTCTCACCTAAATAATGTAGTAATAATAGCATTTTGAAACATTTAAAGGGCTGTACAAGTGTAAGGTTGGATTTCTCCTTCTCTCCCCATGCTCATTTGACTGACCTTCCTATTATTTTTTTGAAATTGAGCTCTTCATCTTTTCCTATGGGAAGTTTTCACTTCCTAATTTATTTCTGGAGCTCTGGTTTTATGGTTCTCAGTTTTGAGGGTTTTTGTTTGTTTTTAATTTCTCAAGCTAGTTCTCTGAGAAAAACTAAATATTTCTTGTGATTCTAACTATTTACACAAATAGTGTTATGACAGATAAAAAAAGGAAAATTATATTTTACCATGCTAATATATCATCTTTTTTTATTTTGCCATGATCCACTTAAAATTGCTTTTAAAACTAGTTTGCAGTTTTACAGACCATTTTCCATCACTTTGAACATGTCAGCCCACTGCCTTATGGCTGTCATGATTTCTGGTAAGAAACTAGCTTGTATGCATGCATATAGGCCTAACCAATGGACACAGACACCAGTGGGGTGAGGGCATGAGTGGGGGTGGGGGGCATTTGGGGGTAAGGACACATATGTAACACCGTAATAAAGAAAAAAAAAAGAAACTAGCTGTTTCTCTTCCTAAGAATTCCCTGTTTGCCTATTGAGTCTTTTCTGCTTTCAATTTTCTCCTTTTGTGTTTGTCTTTTGACAGTTTGATGTGTCTAGGTGTAGATCTCTGAATTTTTTTCTCATTGGAGATGTTGCACTCCTTGGATGTGTGGGTTAATGTTTCTGATCAGATTTGAAAAGTTTTTAGCCCATTATTTCTTAGATATTCTTTTTCTCCCCTGGCTTTCTGGGACTCGTGTTTTTCAGATGTTGGTGCTCTTGATAGTATCCCACAGGTCTCTGAAGCTCTGTTCATATTTAATCATTGTGTGTGTTTTTTCTCAGACTGGATAATCTCAGATCTGTCTTAAAAAATTTGTTGATTCTTTCATCTGTTAGAATCTAGCCCCTCTAGTGAATTAAAAAAAATATGTATTTTTTTTATTTCAGAGAGTAAGGGAGAGGAAGAGAGAGATAAAAACCAATCAATATGAGAGAGAATCATTGATCGGCTGCCTCCTGTGTGCCCCCTACTGGGGATCAAGCCCCAACCTGGGCATGTGCCCTGACTGGGAATCTAACCATGACCACCTGGTTCAGAGGTCGATGCTCAACCACTGAGCCATACCGGCCGGGCCCTCTAGTGAATTTTTAAATTTCAGTTATTGTACTTTCAACTCCAGAATTTCTGTTTAGTTCCTTTTTTATATTTTTTGTCTCTTTACTGACATTCCCAATAAGTCTTCCATTATTTGCCAAGTGGCTCTGTGTAACATGTTGGGACATTGGCTTTAGTACTTAGCCAAGTAGTTTACAACTATGTCTCAGCCCTCACTTTCTGTGTATGCAGAGCCTCAAGGTTAGCCAGAGGTGGAGTTTAGAGCCTTCTCAAGTCTTTCCTGGGCATGAAAACAGTTCATGCACATGACTTATAGATTCTCAGGAATAAGTCCAGGGTTTTCAAAGCTCCTCCATAGACATTAGTTCCTCAACTTTTCCTTTTCCACTTTTTGGTTAGTCTGTTGTTTGCTTCATTTGTTACTCCCCAAGGTAGGGAGTTGCCATGTTATATAATTGCCTCTTATTGTTTTTAACAAGCTCTTCTGAGGAAAAGGCTATTCACTCTGGGTGAGCTCCAAATCAAGTCACATAAAGACAGTCTTGCAAAAAGGGTTCTTCCAGGGAACCACCCGTCAGGTCAAAGAATGATAGAGCCCTGGAGTTTTAGAAGAATCTCTAGCCCCTTCCACCCTCTCCAGTGGCTGTCAGGCTCTGGTTTTCAAAGTGATTATTACACAGTGATTGCTATTTTCTTTTTTTAAAGATTATTTCTTTTAAAAATATATATGTTTTTATTGATTTTTAGAGAGAGGGGAAGGGAGAGAGAAACATCGATGAGAAACATCATTGATCGGCTGCCTCCTGCACACCCCCTACTGGGGATGGAGCTTGCAACCAGGGCATGAGCCCTGATTGGGAGTCCAACTGGTGACCTCTTGGTTCCTGGGTTGGTGCTCAACCACTGAGCCACACTGGCCAGACAGTGATTGCTATTTTTTTTTAATGTAACCTTTTATCTTTTTTTTAAATTAAATCTTTATTGTTCAGATTATTACATTTGTTCCTCTTTTTTCCCCCCATACCTCCCCTCCTCCCAGTTCCCGCCCCTCCCTCCGCCCTCACTCCCCACCCACTGTCCTCATCCATAGGTGCACGATTTTTGTCCAGTCTCTTCCCTCATCTCCCACACCCCTTTCCCCCCCAAGAATAGTCAGTCCATTCCCTTTCTATGTCCCTGATTCTATTATGATCACCAGATTATTTATTCACTTGATTCTTAGATTCACTTATTGATAGATGCATGTTTGTTGTTCATAATTTGTATCTGTACCTTTTTCTTCTTCTTCCTCTTCTTAAAGGATACCTTTCAGCATTTCATATAATACTGGTTTGGTGGTGATGAACTCCTTTAGTTTTTCCTTATCTGTGAAGCTCTTTATCTGACCTTCAGTTCTGAATGATAGCTTTGCTGGATAAAGTAATCTTGGTTGTAGGTTCTTGGTATTCATCACTTTGAATATTTCTTGCCATTCCCTTCTGGCCTGCAAAGTTTCTGTTGAGAAATCAGCTGACAGTCGTATGGGTATTCCCTTGTAGGTAACTGGGTTTCTTTCTCTTGCTGCTTTTAAGATTCTCTCTTTGTCTTTTGCTCTTGGCATTTTAATGATGATGTGTCTTGGTGTGGTCCTCTTTGGGTTCCTTTTGTTTGGGGTTCTCTGCACTTCCTGGACCTGTAAGTCTATTTCTTTCACCAGGTGGGAGAAGTTTTCTGTCATTATTTCTTCAAATAGGTTTTCAATATCTTGCTCTCTCTCATCTTCTGGCACCCCTATAATTCTGATGTTGGTACGCTCGAAGCTGTCCCAGAGGCTCCTTACACTATCTTCGTATTTTCGGATTCTTTTTTCATTTTACTTTTCTGGTTGGGTGTTTTTTGCTTCTTCGCATTTCAAATCATTGACTTGATTCTTGCGCTCCTCTGGTCTGCTGTTGGGAGTCTGTATAGTATTCGTTATTTCAGGCCGTGTATGCTTAATTTCTAGTTGGTTCTTTATCATAACATCGAGGGTCTCGTTAGATTTCTTGAGGATCTCATTGCATTTATCGGCGGCTTCTAGACAGTTCTTAAGAGACCTTAAAAGTGTGGTTCTGAACTCAATATCCTCCATTGACAGTTTTGTCTTGTTTCTTTGTCTCGGCATTTTTTATGCTTTCTTGGTGCACCCCCTAGTGGTCCTTGTGCGCAGTCTTGTTGTAGTTAAGCCTTGATTGTTGGCAATACCGGGGGTGATTTGACCTCCAGGCTAACTGGCTATGAGAGTCCGCTGTGTCTGCAGCGGGAGAGCTTCTGTGCTGGATCTCTAGGGCGGTGCTAATCTCGCGTTTGCCTGAGGCTATCCGGCCAATGGCTCTGCGTAGGGCTTGGGCGGGGCGGGTCCCCGGGGATCTACAGGGCAGGCCGGAGCGAGCAGTTATGGCGGCTCTCAGTTCCGTCCCTAGGGGCTCTGCCTCACAGAGTCCCAGCAACCGCTGCAAACCTCGGAGAGAAAGCTGCCTACGAGTTCCGACCGAAGCCAGACAGTCCCGCTTCTCCCGTTTGAGTCTGGGTCCCTAGAGACTCGGCGGGGTCTGGAGCTCAGAGTCTGAAACTCCCTCCCGATTGAAAACAACAACCATGCCCTCCGCCGCCAGCCCGCTCCGCACGCACTCCGCACCTTAGTATTTCACTTTAGCACTGCGCCTCCTCTGAGTCTGGGTATGATATTCTCCTTCCTCTTAGTTGTAGAATTTCCACTCAGCCAGCCTTCCTGTGGTTCTGGATGATGTCTGTTCCGTCATTTAGTTGTTTTTTGAAGTGGTTGTTCGAGGCAGCAATCTCCGGCGTTAACCTATGCCGCCATCTTGGTTTTCTCGGTGATTGCTATTTTCAAGGCTGCTGTGGAGTTGGTGAGGAGTGAATGAGGCAAGTTAAAAAGGCACAAAGCTTGCTATTCTTGATGAAATTCAGCAGTTTTTCTTGAATAAATGCTCCCTATTGTTAAAGTCTTTGGTTTATTTCTAGAATTCTGAAAAAGTTTATTCTGATCAGCTGGCCAGTGTTCTTATTGCTTTTTATGGAGGAAATGATTTTTGGAAGTCCTTAGTCTGGCGTTTTCACTAGCATCACTTTGATTCAAAGAATTTAACCCATACCTGAATACCAGAAATTGCAAAAGATTTTCTTAGAACATGGGTTAATTTTTTCTTAAGTATCATTTCTTCCTTCCTCCTTCTACTCAGCCTCACTCCTTTCTAGTTGGGGTAACCTATCTTACCAGCTTGTTTTATGTTCTTTCAAACCATATTTTGTTGATTTCATTTCTAATGTGTGATGCATCTGTGTGTATGTACTTTATGGGGGTTTTCTAAACATTACAGTTTACAGTAAGTGTGTTTTGATGTGCAACTTGCCTTTTTTTTTCCCTCTTAACTGCATGTTGGGAGATCTTTCTATGACACACAGAGATATACATTTAAGTGTGATGGTATTTCATGATATCGAAATACCATGGGTTCCCTAACTGTTCCATGATTGATGGTGTTTTAGTTTGTAATAGGCAAGAGAGCTTGAAATAGTGCTAGAACAAATCTCTTTGTATATGCCTCTTTATGTATGAATATTTATCTAGGATGGCTGTTCAGAAGTAGAATTGCATTATTGTAGAGTATGTGTATTTAAAATGTTAAGATTACTTTATAATTTTCTTCCCAAAAGCCTAAATGAGTTTACATTTCCAGCATGTATGTGAGAGTATCTGTTTATCACACCATCTCCAATACTAGATATGACCAATCTTACACATTTTTGACAATCTGGGCAAAAATATCTCACTTATTTTAAAATATATATATATATGTTTAAATTATATATTCTGGGACATCACTACTGCTACCCCAGTAAGTAATAATTTTTAATATTTTTTTACTCCTTTTTTTTTAGGGAATGGCATTTACATTACGAGAACGACAAATGCTTGGTCTTCAAGGACTTCTACCTCCCAAAATAGAGACACAAGATATTCAAGCCTTACGATTCCATAAAAATGTGAAAAAATTAAATTGCCCTTTGGAAAAGTAAGAATTGCTTAGATGTTTAGTTTTTATTGATGTTATGACCAAAAAAATTGGGAGTATTGTGGTTATTATGTTATTATGGCATGAGAAACATACAGTCTCATAATGAAGTTTGTGTTGTAGTCCATCCCTGTTATTTTTATAATGATCATGTATTTTTCATTGCAGTGAATGCTTCACTTGTTTTCCCTATTGTAAAATTTAGGGAGAAGGGGGTCCTAATATATGGTGGCAGGAGAAGATTTGATTTTGGGTGGTGGGCACACAGTGCAATATATAAATCTTGTAACATAGAAACCCACACCTGAAACCTATATGTTCATGTTAACCAATGTCACCCCAATAAATTTAATAAAAAATAAATAACCCCCAATGAAATATCCTTTAAAAAAAAAAGTAGCAGAAATCAGTTTTTTATGCTCAAAATCACAGAGCATTTCAAGTTCGAATGGAATAGAAGCAAAGCTATCATCTAATTTTCATCCAGTCTGTTCAATAACTTTTATTGGTCATCTACTTTGTGTGTGCCACTATACTGGCCCCTGAGGATATAAAGTTGGTAATATTCAGTCCAGGACACTTTAGGGAGTGGAAAAGAGGAGTAACTGAACCTGGCTGAGGCAAACGAAATGTATGTCCTCTACAATAATGCACAACCCTTCCTTCTAGGAGCTCATCAGTAGATAGTTGTGTTTATGTCTGAACCATGCCAGACGGGCAACATTTCTGCCTTTTATTTCATAAAGCTATTCAGTCATTATAGCCCAATTATTTGTTTTCTTCCCTGTGTTGAGAAGAAATCTCCTTCCCTTTAATATATACCTATTGGTATTATTTCTGCCCATGGTAACTATATAGAAAATATTACTCCTCTTCTTTTTTTTTTTCTTTGCCTTGTCTGCAAGGAACTCAAATTATAAGAGAAAGTTTATTTAGAAAGTCACAGAGGTTAAAAAAAAAAAAGGTGAGCCAGCTGGGCTGCGTGGGCTCAGAAAGGATTTACAGAAACAAAAAATGGGCCCTAGGAGCTTAGGAAAAGGAAAGGCAGAGAGAATGAATATACCTGGGGGAAGAAGAGGAGAGGGGTGGGTGTGCTCCAAAGAGAGAGAGCTTGCCCTGGGGAAAGAAGAGGGTGGGGAAAGGCATGGGCTTGCTCAAGAGAGAGAGAGAGAAAGAGCATGTTTATTTTTCTTATTTTTTAAAATATATTTTATTGATTTTTTTACAGAGAGGAAGGGAGAAGCATAGAGAGTTAGAAACATTGATGAGAGAGAAACATCGATCAGCTGCCTCCTGCACACTCCCCGCTGGGGATGTGCCCACAACCAAGATACATGCCCTTGACCAGAATCGAACCTGGGACCCTTGAGTCTGCAGGCCGATGCTCTATCCACTGAGCCAAACCGGTTAGGGCAATTTTTCCTCTTCTAAATGGAATCTGTCCTCCCTATTTATTAACTGAAAATTAGCACATCAGTTATATTCTACATACTTTGCTAGTTCCTGGAATTGTGGAAGTTTATAAGGTGATAGTCCCTAACTCATTATCTCATATAGGCTGGAGGGGAGACAGAAAGTGGAGTGAGTTACAGAAGAGAAGTAGGTTGTTTTGGGATCTAAAAACAGGAAATCTAATGTGACTATATGTGTCATGGGGATTGAGAAGAGGCAGAACAGGAACCGAGAGAGCCTTCCACCCTGAGCTGCTTTCGGAGAGCATGAGTATAGGACTGTGCATGAGTATAGGGTTTTCCAGGCAAAGGGTTCCCCGTAAGTAGCAACTCCAAGGTAAGAGTTGTGATGCATTGAGGAACTGAAGTAAATTCATTATGAAGATAAGGGTGAGAAGTAGTTAGAGGTCTTGATAACTATTTTAGGAGCTTAAGCCTATTTAATCATTTTTGGAGCTTAAGCCTATTTAATTTTTGTTGATTTTTACTCCTGGGTGTTAAATAATGATAATTTAGGGATTTGCTTTCTGGGAGGGAATTGGCCTTCTATTTTAGATGGCTACACTTACCTTTCAGAGGACAAAACTTGGAATGTATTACTGGCTGATGTAGATATTATTTACTGTGCTTAATTTCAGATACATCTATATAATGGGAATACAAGAAAGAAATGAAAAGTTGTTTTATAGAATACTGCAAGATGATATCGAAAATCTGTTGCCAATTGTATATACACCAACAGTTGGTCTTGCCTGCTCCCAATATGGACACATCTTTAGAAGACCTAAGTAAGGCTTATTTTTAAAAATATATATTTGAAAATGATTATTATGTAGGAGAAATATCACTCCGTGACACTTATTACATTTCTGTTTTATTTGTTGCAGTCTTATCTCAACCACATTTCTCACCTCACAAAAGCTTAATTTGGACAAAAAGGGATTAGTAAAAACCCAACACATTCGTTTCTTTCATTTTTGTAGAAATAGTATCATTCTTCCTTAACTTTCTTTAAATTATTATTGTTAGAGGAACTGTGCATTTTCATACCAAAAGAAAAGGTACTCTTTTTTTTTTTTTCATGGTAGCAGATTCTCCAGAATTATTATTAATGTTTTTGACAATCTGGCCAAATTAAAAGATTGATTCTCATTTTTTTGTCAGCATTCATTTTTGTCATTTGTTGTTTTTATGGATGTTTATAAAGTTTTAATTTCACAGCACTTCCAGTTATTTTAAGTGGAAAAGACTGGAATGGGTCTTGACTCAGGTCTTTGAATAAGTGACCTTATCCCTCTAAATCTGTTTTCTCATCATAAAATAGTGATACCAGTACCTGCCAGAGAGATGCTGAGAAGGTCAGATGAGGAAACTGGTGTGACTGCCAGTTGTTTGTAAACTTCTAAGCATTATATAAATGCTATTTTTACTTAATTTGAGTTTTCTTGTCTTGTTCTTCTATTATTTTCCTCAATCCTTGTATGTTTCCCATGTCTTACTTGCATATTGACACAAATGTAGAAATCCAAACAAAATGTGATAGTATTTCTCTTCAATCTCCCCTCATCTAGTCTAGTGGCTTTCAGCATTAATGTGCATGACACACCTGTGGGACTCACTTGAAATGTTGATCCCTGCCAACTCTTCTCCTTTTAATTCCCAAGAGTCTGAAGACAAAGAGAAAGGTCTGGAAGTGTGAATTTAATGAGCGCCATGGGTGGTGGTGGTCAGGTATCACTGGAAGACTCTGAGAACACTGTTCTGTGTGCTGCCATCAGTTAGTGGGTCTGAAACATTTCTGTGATATTACCCAGCTTTTCAGCTCTTTTATAGTTTCTTTTTCATGTAGAACAGTGGTTCTCAATCCAGATTAAAGAACAAGGGGAAACATAAAAAATACTGATTCTTGGGCTCCCCTTGTGGAGATCCTGATTCATTTAGTCTAGAGTTGGACCCAAGTGTTGGTGTTTCATAAAAGCTCCTGGTGTGATTCTGAGGTGCACCAGAGATGAGAGCTGATGTGAAACATAAGGAGCATGGCTTCTGGATGAGGGCAGATACTGTGTCATTTATGTGGTATACTGCTGCAGTGTTTTTTGTTTGCTTTTTACATAAAGGATGGTCAGTAAATCTGATCTAAACTCCAAGCCAGTTAAATCAGAATTCATGGGGGCATTTTTAAAAAGTTCATCAAATGATTCTGTTATGCAGTTATGGTTGAAAAACGCTTGAACTAAACTGATTTGAGCTAGGATAGTAAAGCCAAAGTGAAGATACCAATGAGAAAGTTAGTTATAAGAATCAGTTTAAGGCAGCGGTTCTCAACCTGTGGGTCGCGACCTCTTTGGCGGTCGAACGACCCTTTCACAGGGGTCGCCTAAGACCATCCTGCATATCAGATATTTACATTACGATTCATAACAGTAGCAACATTACAGTTATGAAGTAGCAACAAAAATAATTTTATGGTTGGGTCACAACATGAGGAACTGTATTTAAAGGGCCAGAAGGTTGAGAACCACTGATTTAAGGGCACTTGATACCTGTTGGACCTCATCTCTGCCTGCCCTATTTTCTAGAACCTGTGTTTTGGTTTTGGTTTCCTTCCTTCCCTTCCCTTCCACTCCTCTTCGTCCCTTCCCTCCCCTCTTCCTTTTTTGAAGTCTGGATTCATTATCTCAGTTGGATAGCAGTATACTGTGTGTTTAAAATAATTTCACTTTTTCCTAATGCCTCAAGGTAATGTCTTTTATATGAAACTACCGTACTTTTCTTCTCTTCCTTCCTGTTCTTCACATTTCAATTTTTTCAGTTCAGTGAATTGTAGCAGTAGTATATTATGCTCTTCTGAATTGGTGGTTTATTTTTAAATTGCTTTTTACTGGAGGTATATTGGGTTTATTTGAAAATGATATGTGGATGCATTTCTTCTTGTGTAAAATGATCACATCATTTAATAATAATCTTTGTGGCAACTACTATGTGAGCAATGTAATTACAGTTTGAAGATGTTTGAAGATGTAGTTGAAAATGTTTGAAAATAAACCAGTGTGATTTAGCTAATTCTGCTTGGAAATTATACTGTGTCTTGATGTTTTATTAAAATACCTAAATATTCCAGTTATGAACAAAGACTTAGAAAAAAACAAAAAACTGTTGTGAAATGCAAAGGTGTTTTTGTTCTGTTGCAGGGGATTATTTATTTCAATCTCAGACAGAGGTCATGTTAGATCAATTGTGGATAACTGGCCAGAAAATCATGTTAAGGTACTAATAGCACAACCTTCCTTTTCACAATGTTATTTCTTTCCTTGTAACTTACCTCTAAATTTCCAAGAACAGTTTTTCATTGTTGCTCTGATTTATTTTGCACTTATATATACATGCAGATTTAGTGCTCTGAGGAGATCATGATAGTAATAACTACAAAATGGGTAACTGGTATAAACTTAGACTTTGGGAAAGAAATTGGAACTAGTACACAAAGTGAGCTTGCTCACTATCGATACCACTGGTGTCTCCCGCCTTCTCTTTATTTCTTTTCTATTTCAATTAGTATTAATGTTTCCTATTTTATTTAATATTAACCAAGTACTAATACCATATTATTAAAATAACATAAAACTTTTATTTGGTGAGTAATGGGGAGGATTCATTATGCCTTTTTTCTTCTAAATCTAAGGTAGATTTAGATCCTTAAGCAAATATAAAACTCTTAAAGTTTCAAATTTAGCAAATGTATTGGTCAATCTGGCTGCCTTTCATAAAATAATAAAATCTATTGACTTAGATCTTCTGTTAGGTTTTAGTATTTACTACATGCAATAATCTCACTTGCCTTTAGTACCTTTTCTTCACCAAAATAACCTTTGATGAGTAATCATTAGTTCTAATGATCTAAAGAAATTTGGTCAGATCATTAAATTCACTATATTATCTTAAAATCTTGTAGGTAGGTATATTTTTTACTCTAGATCTTTTTCTCTTTCATCATTGCTAAGGTTTTTCTTGTTTGGCCTAGATTATTTTGTTGGAGTATCATGTTGCTTATTTCTAAACTCTCATTTTTCTGTTATGGTTAATCTCTTTACCAGAAGTTTATTCTCTTTCCCTGTTTAGTCTTTGTGAGGCATTTGGTTAATCCTCCAGTCAGAAGCATTATGTTCCTAAAGATAGGAAGTCAAATCTAGTTAGTGCTCTTTTTGACATCTACATTCTAGAAATACTAGAATTTTAAGTATGCTTGGTTGGTTTACTTTGGAAGATAGTCAAGAAGCAATTTTATTTTTTAAAGTGAGTGTACAAATATCAAGAATTTTTTTTTAAATGCTTTTCTGTAATGTCCCCCTTTTTTTTTTTTTTTTACCATTTCTAATTAATTATTATTATTCTTTTTTTGTAATTAAGGCTGTTGTGGTGACTGATGGCGAGAGAATTCTGGGTCTTGGTGATCTGGGCGTCTATGGAATGGGAATTCCAGTAGGAAAACTTTGCTTGTATACAGCTTGTGCAGGGATACGGCCTGACAAGTGCCTGCCTGTGTGCATTGATGTAGGAACTGATAACCCAGTGAGTAAAACCATTTTCCCCCTCTGACCCTCCTTCCATATTAGATATTTTTTATTTCATTCCTCTTTTGAAGATAATATAAGAAGGAAAATTTTGTGATTAGATGTTAGTCTTTCTCTCAAACTCCGCTTTTAATATCTATGCAAATAATAGTAAATTAGCCTATTAAAAGTGTCTTGAAATAGAGCAGGGCAGTAAGGTTTAAAAAACTATATTAATAATTTATTTTGTGATTATTGTTTTAAAAATATGTTTAAACTGGTTATGTAACAAAATCATTTTATTTTTACATTTGGTCTATTTTATAGGCACTGTTAAAAGATCCATTTTACATGGGCTTATATCAGAAACGAGACCGATCACAACGTTATGATGATCTAATTGATGAGTTTATGAAGGCCATTACTGACAGGTATTTTTTAAGTTTGAGTATATAAAAGCATCTTTAATTAAAGAAAAAAATCACAGTTTTGTTTTGTTTTGTTCACCTCTTATAAAGGTAGGTAGGAGATTAAATTTTGAGAACTTTGGTTCTTTCCTGCTGATCAGACATGCTGATACATGGTGATAACCTACCCACTCTGCCTTGCTTTCCCTGAGTTGCCCAATATATTTTGCTGTTGTTGTTAATCCTCACTTGAGAATATTTTTCCGTTAATTTTTAGAGAGTGGAAGAGAGGGAGGGAGGGGAAAAGAGATGGGGGAGAGAGAAACATCGGTGTGAGAGAGACTCACACACGGCCCAACTGGGGCCTGGGATTGAACCTACAATCCAGGTATGACCCCTTGACTGGGGGAATCGAACCCGTGATCCTTTGTTGTGCAGGCCAGTACTCTAACCACTAACCACTGAGCAACATTGGTCAGGGAAAGTTGTCCGACATCTTGAGGGAAGTCTGCACTCACTGCTTCTATCAGAACCTCACTGTCCAGTTCTTTCAGCCCTTGGCATCACGCTCATTTCCCCATTCTGGTGAAACTCTTGTGCCGCTTTCATGTTTTAAATTTCCTGACCATTTGGTCCTCTTCTCTCTCCATCTGTCTGCAGCATCTCACCAGGTTTTGCAATCCTCGAAATTCCCTCTTCTCTTGACTACCAATATTTTCCTAACTTGGTCTTTCACCCACCTTTTTCTTTCTTTAGTTATCTTCATTGGTTCTTGCTCATTTTTATTACATGTGAATGAGTACATGGTAAGCTATAACCTTTATGCATGTGACTCCTCCCCCCATGAAAACCCATCTATGCAGTCCCACCTCCCTCTGAGGCCTGTATTTCTAACACCTGGAAATCTCCACCAGACATTTTGTTGCTCTTTCATATTCGTGTCCAAAACAACTCCTTCCCATTCCAAACTGCTTATTATCTTCTGTGTATTCAGCCTCTATTAATGGCAGTAACCTTCACCCTATTGCCAAACCTTTAAACTTGGTGTTATCCTTGACTCTTCTCCTTCTCCAGTCCTCAAATCCAGTTGGTGGTACCACTCAAATGCCTCAGAAATAGATCTCCTCTCTCCCATTGCTACAGTCTTTCTGCACATTCTCATCTCTCTTCCGGGTTTTTCTAAACCATTTTCCAATTACTCTCCTTTCCAGCTCTTCTCCACATTACCACCAGATTAAATTTTTTTAAAACATGTACTTCATTATGTCATTCTTTTGCTTGAAATCTCTAATTGCTTTTCTATTGACATAGGGTAAAGTCTAAACTCTTTACTTTCATGACAAAGTCCAAATTCTTTACATTTATGACCTAACCCTGCCCTGCCTTTTAAATTACTGGTACATAGGAGATATTTAAAAATTTTTCAGTCAAAGTTGACACATCTAAAAAAACTAAACTTTTCATTATCCTAGAAATTGCCATCTCCCCTACTTTTCTATCTTATACAGTCAAATGGCAGCTTCTTAGTGATCCAGGTTACCTTAGTATTTTAACAAACTTCCTCCTTACTTCCCAGTTGGCCTCCTCATCAAGTTCTGTTTGTTTATTCTAATGTCTCATAATCTTCCTTTTTACTTCCTATGGCTTCTGCTTCCGATCTTTTGGTCCTCGTGCTAGAGCAGCCTCCTAGCTGCGTCTCCTGGCTTTCTCCTTTCTCCCCACACCAATCTGTGCGGCATATTAATGGCAGGTGCATCATTCCTAAAGGGAGTTGTACATGAATTCTTTCCTTCCCTGAAGCCTTCACTGATTCTGCACCAGATACAGAATGAAGTCCCCATTCCCTAATTGCCATGCAAGATCCTCCTTTATCTGGCCCAACTCACCTTAACCAATTTCTCCCTTTTCATATAAAGCCAGACTGTTGAAAATTTAGAGTCACCAAAATATGTCTTGCTTTTCTTCCTACCTTTTGACTTTCTGTTCTTCTTTCAGGGCCCAAATAAAGTCTCACCTCCTTTGTAAACTTTCCCTTATTACCTCATTTCACCAAGATGATTGGCGTCTTTTTCTGAATGCTCATGAACTCATGCTATAGTAGCCTCCTAATCTTGAGTGCTTCCATTATACATAATTTAAAATAATAGTTGTTTAAAACATAGTAGACATTATGCTAAAACTTTACATTTGTTATTTCATTTAATCTTCTCGATTATTTTTTAACCTTTTATGTATATACTTCCTGTATTGCTGTTTAACTGTTAATGTAATGAGTATACATAGCTAATATTATACATTTGAGATTCAGAAACAAAATCTCTCTCTTTTTTTAAGAAGTTATTTGGTGCATTTATGTGCTGGGCACCCTTATAGGCACTTGGAAATAGTTTATGCAGATTGATACTCCATAGGCTCACCCTGGTACTACATTCATTTGAAGCACCCTGTAAATTTTCTGAATGAGAGATGGATTTCTACATTTTGAGTCTAGTCTTTCATAGACTCTGAAAATTGCCACATGGCATTAAATGAACTAACAACATATTTTGTAATGCTATCATAAGGAATATTAGACAGGAAAGCTATTTAGTAGTGGCTTTTCAACACAACCATTATGGGTTTTGCTGTTTTTTAGGTATGGACGGAATACACTTATTCAGTTTGAAGACTTTGGAAATCATAATGCATTCAGGTTCTTGAGAAAATATCGAGAAAAATACTGTACCTTCAATGATGATATTCAAGGTAAAGCAAAAAGAGAACTTCAGGATTTTAATTTCTATTTCTTAAACCCTTTTTATGTGACCACTTTTTTATTTTTAAAAATCTTTATTTTTCTTGTAGGGACAGCTTCAGTAGCTCTCGCAGGTCTTCTTGCAGCACAAAAAGTTGTTGGTAAATCACTCTCAGAACACAAAATCTTATTTCTTGGGGCAGGAGAGGTAAGTTTCTGTAAGCTGTTTTGAATTTAAAACCAACACTCATCTTTAGAATTGGAAAATGGGGCATAATGAGCTTATAATTTTGAGATAGATAAGGAGATCTTTGTAATTTAAAATTTCTGTTGTAAAGTAGATAATTTAAAATATGCTTAGAGAATATTACAAAGAATCAGCTTGTGTGTGATTTGTAAGGGAAGAATAAACCAAATATTCCTCATAACAAAACATTATAATTCAAGCATTGCATCATATTCTTGTGTTTACTTTTTAAATTTTTGTTCTGTTTGACAGGCTGCTCTTGGAATTGCAAATCTTATAGTTATGGCTATGGTAGAAAGTGGCCTCCCAGAAGAAGAGGCACAAAAGAAAATTTGGATGGTTGACAAGTTTGGTTTATTATATAAGGTAAGGTATTTAAAACTTGGAGAAGCAAAACGATGTTGTTATAATGATATTTTTAGTTTGATTTTTAAAACATCAATTTTTAAAAATTTATATCTCACTCGACTATCCAAATTGTACTAGTTGGGGATCTTACAGTATGTTCTCAACAGAAATCCTCCAGTCTAAAACCTTTGTCTTTTATAAAGACTCTTGCTTTGTATTCAGATCATAGTGTCTGTGTTGGCATCAGACTTACTCCTTCCTCGATTTCCAGACTCTTAAGAGACCAAATAATCATGCAAATAATATTGTACTTGACCCCTCTAAGACTAGGTTTTTAATTGGAACTCAGACTATTCTAATTAAATTGTTAGCAGAACATCTGATATTTGAACAAAATTCGTTAACCCTCTGGTGGTCATAATCCCCTTAGCAATCTAATAGAAATCTATGGATCCTCTCCCCAGAAAAAGGCACATTTTTTTTTTACTACTTAAAAAACAAGTAATCTTTAATTGGTTTTTTGGGGGGAGTGGGGGGCATCAGTTTGTTGTTCCACTTATTAATGCATTCCTTGGTTGTTTCTTACATGTGCCCTGACTGGGGATCCAACCCGCACATAATCTTGGCATGTCAGGGTGACGCTCTAACCAACTGGCTACTCAGCCAGGGCAAGGCATATATATTCTTAAGGCCAATTCATGGATAATAAAGAGCTTCTATCTGAGATTGACTTAGTGTCCTTTGACATGCCTGTCTTCCTAGCGTTGATTGTCATTTTATTAGTTTAAGAAATGCCTTATAGCTTAGATCTAGAACACATTGAAATGTAGGTAAACTATATCATAATTGAACCTATCCCTACACAGTGCTGTACTTTTGCCTTGTATAATCATATAGCAGTTACTTGTCATTTACATCTTTGGAGCAAGCTTATCGCAATGGACTTTGCTCCAATTCTGTAATCTTTTCTTCTTAACTAGTACCAATATTCTATTAGTACATTTTATCAAAAGATAAAATGAAAAAGTGTGTGAGTAAAAAGTCTTGAGTGGTTTAATTATACATAATAAAATAATAGTTGTTTAAAAATATACCAGACATTGTGCTAAAACTTTACATTTATTATTTTATTTAATCTCAAAAACTGTATGGAGCCCAGCCTATGTGGCTCAGTGGTTGTGCATCGACCTATGAACCAGGAGGTCACGGTTAGATTCCCATTCGGCACATGCCCGGTCGCAGCTCAATCCCCAGTGGGGACTGTGAGTGAGGCCGCTGATTGATGATTCTCTCTCATCATTGATGTTTCTGAAATGAATAAAACTATATATTTTCCTCTCTGAAATGAATAAAACTATATATTTAAAAACAAACAAACAAACAACAACAACAACACTGCCCTAGCCAGTTTGGCTCAGTGGATAGAGCGTTGGCCCACGGACTGAAGGATCCCTGGGTTTTTTCCCAGTCAAGGGCATGTACCTCGGTTGCAAGCTTGATCCCTGGCCTTCTTCAGGGTGTGTGTGGGTGGCAACCAATCGGTGTGTCTCTTTCACACCAATGTTTATCTCTGTCTCTCCCCCTCCCTGTCTCTCTAGAAATCAATGGAAAAAATATCCTCCAGTGAGAATTAACAAAAAAACCCCACAAACCTATGGAATTTTACAAACGAGGAAACTGAGGGTTAGAAAGGTCAGGTGACTTTTTCAAGGACATCAGCTTATAAGTGATAGAGTTAGGATTCTTACCCAGGTAGCCTATGAAGCCTGTGCCCTTAACCATTCAACTAAGTTCCCTCTCAAGTAAACTATAACTGCTATGTTAACTTGTATATAAGATGCAAGGATTATAAGACATACTTTTGGAAAGCTATTGGGAGGATATGTAGTTTTACTGGGACATAGTAGATGGGTGTTTCTTTTTGTGATACTGGTTTTCACAAATGTGATTCTTCATCATATTTGTAACTAGTGGCCCTTGTTGAAAGGAAATTAATTAGAAGAAATATTTTAGTATTGCTATTCGTCCTTTCTCTATAATAGAAGTGTCAACCAAATTCACGATTGACAATGACAAATCGAAACCAAGGAGTGCGATTGGCACCAGCGGGAACTTTATATGAATCGTGCATGCGCGAGTCAACTTTTAGCCTTTTATAGATATAGAATAAACTTGCTTAATTAGACCTGCTTTCTGATGTAGCTAAACTTTTTCCAGCCCAGTGAAGCACCCCAACTTCTCTTTCAGGGAATTGTCAGCAACACAGCAGTAAATATCAACACGAAGCAGATTGTTATTGTAGATCATGCAGGGAGAACAAAGGGTAAAATATTTAACTGCAGCAGTGTTTAACTATATTCTGTGCAGTGAGAAAACCTGAAGTCATTTTCAAGGTCCACCATTTCTTCTTTTCAGTCAGGTCAGGTTTGTAAACTTTCTAAATCTTCATTTCCTGGCTAATGAAAATAGGATTCCACCAAGTCTTCTCTCTACCTACTCCAGGACTTCTGTGAGGATCAAATGAGATGAGGCATGGGAAAACTCCTCACAGACATTTGGTTAAAGTGTGAAATGTTTGCATCTGGCTATAAAGCAAGTCATGTTCCTGGGCTAAAGAAACTGCAAAGAGGCTAGTCGCTAGGGAGAGGAAGCTGAGCATTGTTCCGTGACATCATTACCCGGACAGACACTTGGCATGTTAGCCTTTATATACAGACTAGAGGCCCAGTGCACAAATTCGTGCACCAGTGGGGTCCCTCAGCCTGGCCTGCGGGATCGGACTGAAACCAGCTCTCTGACATCACCTGAGGGGTCCCGGATTGCGAGAGGGCTCAGGTCAGGCTGAGAGACCCCACTGGTGCATGATCAGGGTGGGGGAGGCACACGGGAGGTTGACCAGCCGGGTAGGGACCGCAGGAGGGCTCCAGGGCATGTCTGGCCCATCTTGCTCAGTCCCGATTGCCGGCGTCCAACCCCAGCGGGTCCAGGGGTTCCCAAAGGCGTAGACGGAGTCGGCGAAGAAGGAAGGACATGGAGACAGTGTTCAGTTGATCAGCAGCCTAGCCAGGATCTTCAGTCAGGATCTCCAGCCAAGTTCTAGTCTGGATCTCCAGAGAGGTTCTGCTTCGGATCTCCAGCGAAGTTCTGGTTAGGATCTCCAGCCAGGTTCTGTGTCCAGTTGTCTTGCTAGGTTCTCCAGCCAGGTTCTCCAGGTTCTCCAGCCAGGTTCTGTAGCCATGTTCCCTCGCTAGGTTTTCCAGCCAGGTTCTGTCCAGGTTCTCCAGCCAGTTTCAGTCACCAGGTTCTAGTCAGGTTCAGTCCAGGATCTTTTGCCATGTTCTCTCGCTAGGTTCTGTCTCTAGGTTCTGTTGCCAGGTTCAGTCCAGGATCTTTTGCCATGTTCTCTCACTAGGTTCTGTCTCTAGGTTCTGTTGCCAGTTTCTGTCTAGGATCTTTTGCCATGTTCTCTCCAGCGAAGTTCTTCTGTCTCTAGGGTCTGTGTAGGTTCTGTCTTCTTGGTTCTGTCTTCTAAGTTCTGTGTTGTTACATCTGTATTTATACCAGTTGATTCCAATCCTATCAATCTCTATTCCAAAGGTTAGGGCGTTTCTTATCTCCATTCCAGGGAGTAAAGATTATGTAGCTTAAGCATGATTGTTCGTAGTTAAAGTGATTAATTACCCGCCTGGCACTTAGTTAAGAGGTTTTATTCCCTCCCTAACTTCAGGGGAAAATCCCTACCTGGGGAAACAACCTTTCTCAGAGACCTTGGTTAAAACACATAGTGCCAAGAAGGTGAGCAAACATATTAAGAACCGTATGCCATATATGCCAGGTCCCTTGAAACAGCAAGGATGGACTGGCTCCCGGCACCCGATTGGCTGGATCCCAGCAACAAGTTAACCTACTGGTTGGAGCATCTGCCCCCTGGTGATCAGTGCACATCATACTGAGTGGTTGAGTGGCCTTAGCATATCATTAGCATATTACGTTTTGATTGGTTGAATGGCCAAGTGGTCGACTGGATACTTAGCATATTAGGCTTTTATTATATAGGATAAGTCAGTTCTAGAATGCATATAGTATTGGTTAGCACAGTGAGAAGCTCCTCCCTGTTCATCTGCAGCTTCTGAGTGTATTTTCCTTTTAGTCTAAGTAGCTTGACCTAATGAATTTAGGCTTCCAGTCTCTCCTGGTGTCCCTAACGCTGCCCTCCTTTTTGAGACTGCTCTGTTGAACCATCGTAGTGGAGAGCTGTGTTTCTCTTGGAGACAAACATAGCATACGAAGCCATTATTCTGAGAGCCTCCACCTGGTGAGGCTGTATCTCAGTCCTTTAGTTCACTTCCCAGCCAGCAATGCTGTGCAGATTTTCCCAGCCCTGCTGGTTTTTATCTGGGTTATTCTGGAGCTCTGATGGAAACATTTGCAGGGGATGTCTTCTCTTTTGCCAAAGTCAAGGTATGGATTTCTCTGCCTGGTTAAGTTTTCATCCATGTTTTGCCTGTTTTAAATCATTGAGAAGCGTTTCATTGTTTTCCTGTCACTGGTACCTCTCCTTGCTTTGTGACACTACTAAGAATTTGACACTACTAAGCGTTTGGACTGGGGACTTGGGGAGGAAAGCACGTTTCTTCAGTCAGCCAACTTGAGCCAGAAGTCTCTGTTCCTCTTGTTTCTGAAGTCTTGGGAGTCCAGGTACAAGTCTGTAATTCTAAAAGTTCTGCATCCAGTTAGTAACGCATCTGGCTGACCTGAACTTCTCTGGTAACAAAACCAGAGAGGAGGTCATTTGTAGTCTTCACCTTTTGTGCTTGGTGTGACTTTTCTTTTTTAATCCTCACCCAAGGAGTGAGGGTATTTTTTCCATTGACTTTTAGAGGGAGTAGAAGGAAGGGAGCCGGGGAAGGAGAGACAGAGAGCGAAACATCGATGTGAGAGAGACACATGGATTGGTTGTCTCCCACACTGCCCCAACCAGGGGTGGGAATCGAACCTGCAACCCATGTATGTGCCCTTGACTAGGAATCAAACCTGCAAAACCACACTGGTCATAAATTTTGTTCAGTTGTGCAGTACCCATTGGGAGGCATTTGTAATATCTTATATATTGCCATAATACATTTCTAAAATATGAAAAATTCTGATTTCCAAACTGCATCTAGCCCAGAAAAGGGATTGTAGGACTTGTACCATATTGAATTTAGGAGGACTTCACAGAGTAAATGAGTTTTTGAGAGGGATTACAGTTTCTGGTTGTAAGGAGATTTGATTTATATTTTATATTGGGGTTTATGGACACTATGAAGATAGAATTAGAAGATATGGATTGAAGAGAAAAGTAAATGAAAATACATTCCTATTCTAGAAACAATATGTGACTCAATGATGTCTTTTCACTTAATCCTCAATAAGCATTTACCAAAATACTGTATTTTTATGTAATAATTCAGGGGCGGGAAGCTAAAATAGACAGTCATCAGGAATCATTTGCTCACTCAGCCCCAGAGAGCATACCTGATACTTTTGAAGATGCAGTAAAGATACTTAAACCTTCAGCTATAATTGGTAAGTAAAGTTGTTGCAGATTATTCTTTTACTTAACTGTATCTTGCCAATCATAACTTACATCAGGATTACTAAAAAAGAAATGGTAGATTTTATCTAGCTTTCAGCATATATGATATTTTTCATAATAGCTTTTTTATTACAGCGTGCAATGAAAGTTCAGTTAATGTATATTGCTTGTATTTTTAAGTGTAGAAGCTGTGGGATTTTTCACACTTTATTTTTAGAGTTGGTATGACTGTTGGGCTCAAAACCTAAAAAGACCAAGGTCATTGACACACTGTACCAGGAAAATCCTATGCAGAGTCCACGTTTTTCACTGGCAACAAAGCTGAAAGTGTTTGGTACCTTTTGAGTCAGGTATTGCATAGCTGACATGAGACTATGACAACATGGCATGAAGTTCACAGCAGAAAATGTAACAGTCTTTAAAAGGGGAGCTATTTTCTTTCCAATGTAGCTATAAGATTTTTAATCTATCATTATCTTTTAATTGTATCTGTTTCATGTACAAGCCCTATTGAATGCCAAATAGCAAAAGAGTCACAAACAGTAAGTGTCTATGATCAGGAAAAGTACATCTTTTTAGCTTCTTCATTGATTAGAACTCATATAAGTGAAATCACACAGTATGTCTTTTTGTGACTGGTTTATTTCACTTAGCATAATATCCTCAAGGGTCATCCATGTTGTAGCGATTTTAATTAGACATAGTGATGTAGATAATCTTATACTCTTCTCCTTACCCCCCACAATTTACTATGTCTGGGGTGGACAATAAATATTTTAAGTGAAAACTTAGCATTTTATTGTTTTTCTTTTCACATTTGAAATTGTGTTCATATAACATTATTTCAGCATGCAAAATCCATCTTTGTAATAGAGTTCACCTACGCTTTTGTTATGTTAAACCTGTTGTAGAAATGCTGTTTATAAGAATTGCTTTTAGCCCAGCCAGTGTGGCTTAGCAGTTGAGCATCGACCTATGAACCAGGAGGTCACTGTTCGATTCCCGGTCAGGCCATGTGCCCGGGTTGTGGGCTCATCCCCAGCATGGGGAATGCAGGAGGCAGCCAATCAGTGATTCTCTCTCATCACTCATGTTTCTATCTCTCCCTCTCCCTTTCTCTCTCTCAAATCAATGAAACTATTTTTTTTAAAAAAAGACTTGCTTTATTTTACCTGTAATGAAGTTGGCTGTTTTTCCCCTTATTTATTTCAGGAGTTGCAGGAGCTGGCCGACTTTTCACTCCTGGTGTAATCAAAACCATGGCTGATATCAACGAAAGGCCTATAATCTTTGCATTAAGTAATCCTACAGCAATGGCTGAGTGTACAGCTGAAGAAGCATATACACTTACAGAGGTATTAATAATAATTTAATGAATTAGTTATGTCTTATTTTCCCTCTATTAGCCTGTTGGTTATACATTCTTGCATAATTTTCATGGTTACTTTGGAGATTACAACATTCGTCCGTGGATCATCAAATACTGGTATTAATTATTGCTTGTAACAATTCTAGAAAGTAATTACCTCATAATTCTATTTTTTAATACCTTTATGCCATTTGTGCTGTTTTACATTTTTTAAAATATATTTTTATTGATTTCAGAGAGAAAGGGAGAGGGAGAGAGAGATAAAAACATCATTGATGAGAGAGAATCATTGATCAGCTGTCTTCTGCACGTACCCATCATCCTGCAACCCGGCCATGTTGCCCTGACCGGGAATTGAACTATAACCTCCTGGTTCATAGATCGATGCTCACCCACCAGCCAGATGAGATAAAACATTTTTCACAATTTTTATAACTTTGAAACTTCTATCTCTTTTTTTAAAATGATTTTTTTAAAAGCATTTCATTATAGTTTAATTTTATATAATTTCTTAGTGTTACATAAAATAATGACATATTTATGTATTTGCAGTTACCTCTTAAATTTTTAGTTCCTTTGTTTTCATTGGAGAGATGTCTTAGTGTTACTCTAACACCCTCGATGCTTAGTGAGAAAGCAGCAGTTTCTTGTAGAGCAGAGAATAGGTCAGCTTGGGCCTCAGAATGTGACAATACTGTTACCATTAAGATCTGGCCACACTTAAGCAATAGGTAGAATATGATGGGGGAAGAACAGATGGTTTGGAGAAGATGAACTGCTGTAGAATCTCACCATTCTAGAGAACATTCCCAAGATCTTTCTAAATCTCCAAATTTACTGGTATCATGTGAATATAACACATTCCCCATAAAGAACTATATTGTATAATCCACTTTATGGAGCTATTAAAATTAATGGTGCCCCCATAATATTTATTATTATACACACTAGAGGCTCAGCGCGCAAAATCGCGCAAGACCCAGACCCCCGTGCCACTGGACCCAGACCTCCCTGCACCATGGGACCCAGACTCCCTCTGCCATGCTGCCGCAGGCAGGACCCCAGACTCCCTCTGCTGCACGTGCTGGCAGGACCTCAGACCCGCCGCACCGGTGGGACCCCAGACCCTGCCACTGCCACCACAGGCCTCGTGAGCTCATTTGTGCCTTGCTAGTCCCCATTCCTCTCTTCCCAGTGTTGAGTGTCTGAGCCATTGGCTGCTCTGAACTGTTTGGCTCTTTTCCTTAGTAGCAGCTTTTACCTTCTGCCTCAATTCCTCTCCCACCTTGCACCCTTCCCCCATGCACCACCTACCTCCGCCGCCAGCCACGGATGCCCCCGCCCCACCCCCCACAGCAGGAGCACCTCCGCTCGCCACCTGGGGACCCATGCCGCACTCCCTGCCCCCACCTGCCCGGCGCCCATCCCCCACGCCCTCTTCACTGCACAGCCCCGCCCACCCACCGCCCGCCTTGCTGCGATCAGAGCCTGTGGGCCACGGGAATGAGAGGTGCTCCATGCACCTCCTGGTGACCGATCTTTGGGCATTACGGCCACAGGTTTTTTATATATATATATATATATATATATAGACTAGAGGCCCGGTGCACCAAATTAGTACACGAGAGGAGGGTCCCCTCAGCCCAGGCTGCACCCTCTCCAATCCCGGACCTCCTCAGGGGATGTCCGACTGCTGGTTTAGGCCCGATCCCTGGAACTGCTGGCTCCTAACTGCTCACCTACCTGCCTGCCTTATTGCCCCTAACTGCCCCCCCTGCCAGCCTGATCAGCCCTAACCGCCTCTGCTTGCCAGCCTGATTGTCCCTAACTGCCCCCCTGCTGGCCTGGTCACCCCCAACTGCCCCCCACCTGCCGACCTGGTCACCCCATGCAGCCTGCTGTTGGTCATTACTGTGACAGTGTCCCAGACAATTTGCATATTCCTCTATTATTAGTATAGATTATTATTATGGTAACATGTATGGCATTAGCCAGGAACTGATGTTAATGTTCAAACAAACACAACTTTTGTTACGCGTAGTTATGCCTAAAATAGGTTGAGAATGATAATAGCTATCTGTAGAAAATGTTGTATGTTGTTGTAGGTCCAAGCTAGTCACCCAAGCCTACCACTAAGCCTGTCGCTGACTTGCTTCAACGCTTACCATAAACCTTGTATCATTTTTGAAATTGAAAGTATATCTTGTAAAAGTATTCATTACTGTACTTCATGGACCTTCAGGTCAAATTCTTGAGTGTTTAAACCACTAATGCCAAGGATCTGCTATACTTCAAAGAATAACACTTGGATATTACACTCTTGTTACAATTTGGATTTTAGATTTTTAGACATAGTTCTTTTGAATGTTCAAGTACTCGTGGCAGTTTGTCCATCCTACCATGTGGACATAGTTCAGTTTTCTGTAAATCACTTTTTAACTTAATCCAAGGAGCTGTTTAAAACAGGACATATATATGTTATGCCTTGGTTATTGCGGGATAGGTTATCCTGCTAGAGAACATTGCTTGCTTCTTGCTCTTTGTCTTATTTTTTTTCCAGGGAAAGGTGGGGGTGGTGGTATTTGTTGAGGGATTTTATATATAAAGGACTTCATTTTATAAATTAATGTTCAGATACTTTTCAATTTCACAGGCATTTACTTCTCTTAGAAATACAGAATGTACCAGTAACATTTGTTATGTGCTATTATAGAGCATAGTACTAGACTGGATGACTACGACAAATTTGGAGACTTTTTTTTTAACAAGGCAACATGCCATTTTTTTCTGGGATTGATAGTGTGGTTGTATCGATGCCTCTTTTCTAAACTGCCTCACTAGGGGGCATTATGGCATAACAGAAAGAGACCGTGGGCTTCAGAGTTTTAAATACCTGGATTCCAGTTGACCTTTTACAGCAAGCTTGTCAAACTCAAAAGCTAACACGGGCCAAATAAACAAGGTTTAAGTTTATGTGGACCGCAAAAAAACAAAAGCTTCAATTTTCTTAGAAACATCAGCTTATTTCTATAGAGACATGCTGAATACAAAGGGCTGAAATAAATGAGTAATCGTTAACATAAAATAATAGAACATTTTAATAAAATTTAATATTTTTTCTTGAACATTAACTTACCAGACACTGAATAATTACACAAATTAATAAGCGTAACTCAAATAAACCTATTTTTCTTGTTCTGAAAGTGATATATTTCCTGTTGCACACACCAAACAAGTCAGTCCAAGACTAATGATGTGGTGATCTGCTGCTAAAATATTTGCTGCTAGTTTTAGTGGAGAGAATGGTGCACGTGTGCATAAGGCACATAAGGGAAATGAATGCAACATGATTATAGTCATCAGTCATTAGCAAACGTTGTAGTTCGTTATTAATAATTATGTGTAACAGGATATTGTAAAACTTCAGTTACAACATTTTTATCAACACTTCTTACATATCATTATATTGGCTGGGCGGCAAAAATATTCGTTATGGGCCACATGCGGCCTACAGGCCGCAAGTTTGACAAGCTTGTTTTACAGAGTACTTGGGAATATCTAAGCCTTAGTTTTCTCGTTTTATTTTATCAGTGAAATCAAGATAGTGATAACCTCTAAGGTTTTCATGCAGGCTTAAGTTCACTGAGTTAACACAGAGAGCCCCTGGTACTGAGACAGCAGATGTACAGTAAATGGTAGCAGTTTAATTTTTGATGTTTTCCCCTTCATTCACAGATGTTTACATCAATCTTTAATATTTTAGGATGGTATTTATTGGCCATCTACATCTTTAAAATTTTTCAAAGAAAATGGAAGGTGTAAGGTTTTTGAAAAATGATTAATGGACATTTTTCAACTTTAGAATGTATGCATAAAACAAACTTTATTCCAATAAAAATTAAGTGACAGGATTATGTTATATAGTAAATTATTCCTGTTTGCAAATAATATGTTGGTCTGCTTTACTATAGGATTTAATCTTGTTTGAGGTTACCTTGATTTTCTAAGGCACATCAAGTAACAGAGTCAAGGCCATTTCATTTCTTCGCAGGGAAGGTGTTTGTTTGCCAGTGGCAGTCCATTCGAGCCGGTGAAACTAAGTGATGGGCGAGTGTTCACGCCAGGCCAAGGCAACAATGCATATATTTTCCCAGGTAATTGTCACCATTATGTGTGTTTCAGAGTAATCATTAATGAAATTCTTTAGAGTTTAAGATTAAAATGAACGATGGAATTTACAGGAGTTTGGTATGAATGCACAGGGAAACTCAAGAAATTCAGCAGATCGAACTTGCTCTATTTCCTCTGAAAATGTATTTATTCATACAGGGGTGGGCAAAAGTAGGTTTACAGTTGTAATTCAACAGATAAATAATTCAACAATTATAGTTGTGAGTATGTGAAACATAGTTTATTCTTGTATTATTATTTAATTATGTTATTATTTTCCATATAAGCAACTGTAAACCTACTTTTGTCCCACCCATGTAAGAAGACAGTCATTTTTGCCCCAGACATTTAAATAACTGCATTAAGTGTAGATGGACCAGTTACTCTTCTTTAAAATTTTCTATCTTTTCCAGAGGCTGGATTAAAATAAGGAAGCTATTAACCATCTGATCTTCCCATCCTCCCCACTCTATTGGGATAGTCTTTGAATAGTTTAAAACAAAATTTCTAGACTTTGAGACAACAGATATAGTTGAGGACAGAGGTGCCAGAAAGTGGGAGATTAAAAGCCACTCAATAGTGACAGAGTAGGCAAGCCCCATCCTTGTGTTCATAGCTACCAATCATTTTTTAGTTCCGAACCCTTGCATATGAGAAACGGTCAAAGATTACTGCCCAGCTGGCATGGCTCAGTGATTGAGCATCGACCTATGAACCCGGAGGTCATAGTTCAATTCCTGGTCAGGGCACATGCCTGGGTTGTGGGCTCCATCCCCAGTCAGGGCATGCAGGAGGCAACCAGTCAGTGATTCTTATCATTGATGTTTCTCTCTCTCTCTCTCCCTTCCTCTCTCTATGAAATCAATAAAAAATGTATATATTTTAAAAGATTACTAGTCCTATGTGGGAAGAAGGAAAATTAAAAACTATCAGTATCATCATGGAGACAAATGATTGCATCTCTGAAACGACATTTTTTAAAATTATAAGACAAAAATAAAGTTTTGAAAATGAAAATTTTAGTAGCAGAAGGATTAGATGAAAAAGTTGAGGAAGTCACCTAGAAATAGAGCAAAGAACAGAGATAGAAATAGAGGAGAGGATTAGAGGAATAGTCCACGAGGTACAATAGCAGGAAATAGAAATTTCAGGAAGAGAGCACAGGAACACGGGCGGAAGGGCATTATCAAAAGCTTTATTAACATTTCCCCAAATGGAAAGACTCAAGTTTCCAGATAGGAAAGGCCTGCCCACTGTGTGCCAAACACCTCAGTGAAAATGATACAACTCAGGGCAGATCATGAAATTACAGAACATTAGCCACACACACACAGCCTGCATACCTCCAGAGAGGAGATAAAAAGATAATCACTGAGAAAGTACCTGGGATCACATTGGCACTGGATCATCACCAATAATGCTGGAAGCTTATTTCTAAACTAGGATTCTAAACTCAAACTATCAAAATGGAAAGTAGGAAAAGAAGAAAAAGAAAAAGATGGTTGAGGAATGTAAGATTTCAAAAAATATACCTCCCACGTACTGTTTTTCAGAAAACTACAGGAGAATATATGCTAACAGGAAGAGGTAGTAACAAAAAACTAGGAAGAAGTGGGATTTAGGAAATAAACTCAATTTAGAAGCAAAGGAAATCCCGATGATAGAGGGATTTTCCAGCATGACAACTCCATATCTGAAGTGGATTGCAGCCAGATCACATTTATTCTAGAGGATGAAATGAGAGACTACATGAGGTAGCTGAAATATTAGAAGAAAATTAGACAAGTGAATGAATGTTTTGTCATGAAGTTACTTCAAATTCCAAAAAACCACTAAAGTCAAGAAAAAAATAGGATAGTAACTTCAGGGAAAACAAAGTTATACAGAGGAGGAAAAATCATGATACAGTGTTAGTGGATAGTCAGCTGTGAATAGCATTTATGAAGTCATAATAAACACTGAATGTTCACTCAATCAGAATGATGGGAAGAAGAAAAAAGGCTGGAAATGTGACAGACAGCTAACTACTTATTTCCCACAGGAAGGAAGCAGTGATATTTAAAACTCAGAAGTCAGTCAGGACTCTAAGCAAGCTGTGTAAGAGTGAGAAATGAATATTGAAACAATCAGCTAAAAGAATTGCAAGTAGTTGTCTCTGTAGAGCAAGAAACGGAGGGTTGGAGGTGTGTGGGAATAGTGTTTTCTGTAACAAGTGTCGATAAATTGTATGCATTTGTAATTTTGATAAATGTAAAAACAATATTGGGGAAAGCTTTTTGATATTTTCTAAAGTATTTTTTCTAGTAAATAAGAATTATAGTGGTTAATAAAGATCATTGGATTTTAACTCTCAGATTTTTGTGTTTATTTTCTTGGCTGCTTGGGGTTTTTTGGAGAGGGTATTCGGAGTGGGGATGGCTTGCCATTCACTTGCTTTAAATCTGGGAATTTATTTGGCTCCTTTCACAATTTGAAAAGTGACCTTACTAAATAAACTGTTTAAACTGTATTCTAGGAGTGGCTTTAGCTGTTATTCTCTGTCACACCCGGCATATTAGTGACCATGTTTTCCTAGAAGCTGCAAAGGTAATTATTTTTAATATTGTATAGTTATTTTATAAAGGATGAATTATAAAGATTAAAAGCAGAAAGGAAAAGAAAAGGGGTTAAATCTGCCTTATGAATGTAAAGGAAGTTACTCACCCATTGCTCTTTTGATTTGCCCATCTACTTTTGCATAAAATTATTTTTTAGCATGATTTTTCAAATGTGTGATGGTAAGCTATGAATCCTTTTGTATTTATAACACATCTATACCTGTATTATATATATCTGAAAGTAACATATTCTGACAGCATAGATAAAATATAACTCCTTGTGAGTTTTTTTTTTTTTAATTAAATCTTTATTGTTCAGATTATTACATTTGTTCCTCTTTTTTTTTCCCCCCCATAACTCCCCTCCTCCCAGTTCCCGCCCCACCCTCCGCCCTCACTCCCCACCCACTGTCCTCATCTATAGGTGCACGATTTTTGTCCAGTCTCTTCCCGCATCTCCCACACCCCTTTCCCCCCCAGGAATAGTCAGTCCATTCCCTTTCTATGTCCCTGGTTCTATTATAATCACCAGTTCATTCTGTTCATCAGATTATTTATTCACTTGATTTCTTAGATTCACTTGTTGATAGATGCATATTTGTTGTTCATAATTTGTATCTTTACCTTTTTCTTCCTCTTCCTCTTCTTAAAGGATACCTTTCAGCATTTCATATAATCCTGGTTTGGTGGTGATGAACTCCTTTAGCTTTTCCTTATCTGGGAAGCTCTTTATCTGACCTTCAATTCTGAATGATAGCTTTGCTGGATAAAGTAATCTTGGTTGTAGGTTCTTGGTATTCATCACTTTGAATATTTCTTGCCACTCCCTTCTGGCCTGCAAAGTTTCTGTTGAGAAATCAGCTGACAGTCGTATGGGTATTCCCTTGTAGGTAACTGAGTTTCTTTCTCTTGCTGTTTTTAAGATTCTCTCTTTATCTTTTGCTCTTGGCATTTTAATGATGATGTGTCTTGGTGTGGTCCTCTTTGGATTCCTTTTGTTTGGGGTTCTCCGCGCTTCTTGGACCTGTAAGTCCATTTCTTTCACCAGGTGGGGGAAGTTTTCTGTCATTATTTCTTCAAATAGGTTTTCAATATCTTGCTCTCTCTCATCTTCTGGCACCCCTATAATTCTGATGTTGGTATGCTTGAAGCTGTCCCAGAGGCTCCTTACACTATCCTCGCATTTTTGGATTCTTTTTTCATTTTGCTTTTCCGGTTGGGTGTTTTTTGCTTCCTCGCATTTCAAATCATTGACTTGATTCTTGCGCTCCTCTGGTCTGCTGTCGGGAGTCTGTATAATATTCGTTATTTCAGTCCGTGTATGCTTAATTTCTAGTTGGTTCCCCAATATAAGATCGAGGGTCTCATTAGTTTTCTTGTAGATCTCATTAAGTTTATCGGCGGCTTCTAAACAGTTCTTGAGAGACCTTAAAAGTGTGGTTCTGAACTCTATATCTTCCATTGACAATTTTGTCCTGTTTCTTTGTCTCCGCATTTTGTTATGCTTCCTTGGTGCACCCCCTAGTGGTCTTTGTTCGCAGTCTTATAGTTAAATCTTGATTGTTGTAGCTAATTCCAGGGAGGGTTTGACCTCCAGGCCAAGTGGCTATGAGAATCAGCTGTGTCAGCAGTGAGAGAACTTCTGTCCTCTAGGGAGGTGCTAATCTGGGGTTTGCCTGAGGCTATCCGGCAAATGCCTGTGTTGCAGGGCTTGGGCGGGGCGGGTCGCACAGGATCAACAGTGTGGGCTAGAGAGAGCAGTTATGGCGGCTCTCAGTCCTGTCCCCAGGGGCTCTGCCTCTCTGAGTCCCAGCACCCGGTGCAAAGCTCAGAGAGAAAGCTGCACTCGCTCTGACCGAAGCCAGACAGTCCCGCTTCTCCCGTTTGAGTCTGGGTCCCTAAAGACTCGCCCGGATCTGGAGGTCAGAGTCTGCGACTCCCTCCCGATTGAAAACGCCAACCTCGCCCTCCGCCGCCAGCCCGCTCCGCACACTCCGCACCTCAGAATTTGACTTCAGCACTGTTGCTCCTCTGAGTGTCCGTATGCGTTTCTCTTTCCTCCTAGTTGTAGGACTTCCACTCAGCCAGTGTTCCTGTGGTTCTGGGTGATGTCCCTTCTGTTTTTTGGTTTCACTTTTGAAGTAGTTGTTCAAGGCAGCAAACTCCGGCGTTAACCTATGCCGCCATCTTGGTTCTCTCCTTGTGAGTTTTTAATGACAATTACAGATTTATTTGGAATAATTGCAACTCCAAACTTGGCAGTATGAGTTTTGAAGAACTCACAGTAATACAAATATTAATGTCTATTTTCATAGTAGCTGTTGTAATTATACCAAACTCTGTATGTTAAGTAGAATATATTAATAAGTCTTTAAATCTGGTTATTTCTTTATTGTTTAGTAGTGAACAGTTTTAATTTCTGCAGTAGTTTAAGTGTATTCCTGCTAGAAATAGGAGAATTATATTATCTGTATTTCTGCTCCTCAACCCTTTCTATGTTTCAGTAGGTCTTTATTATTCTGTGTTATTTAAACAAACAAACATAAAGTTCTCTTTTTCTCTTTAGGCACTGACAAGTCAATTGACGGATAAAGAGCTAGCTCAAGGGAGACTTTATCCCCCTTTTTCCAATATTCAGGAAGTTTCCATTAACATTGCTATTAAAGTAAGTAATAGTTTATACCTCTTCACATAAATTTTAATAGAATTTTCTTATGTAAGTAACACAAGTTTATTAAAGAAAAGTTTAAAACATTTAGTGCAAAGAAGAAATTTTAGTTCACCCATATTCTACCAGAATATAACCCACATTGTTATTTTGAGTTTGTTGCCTTCTAGTCTTTTTAAGCACACACATGCCCAGTCACCAGTACCTATTTTTATAATTGGGTTGTCACTGCACTTTTTCCCACTTAATGTATTATAAGTCTTTTCCCTTGTTAATCAATAATAATTCTCTTTTTGTTATGTCATAATTAGTTTAACCATTTCTCTTTGGACATTTAAGTGTTTTTCATTTTGGTAGAAATAATATTGTAGTGAAATCCTCAGATAAGTCTTTATGTGCATTTGTGATTGTTTTTCTTTAAGATAAATTTCTAATCATAAGGACGAACAGTGTTAACACACTAAGGCTACTGATTTATATTGCCAAATATTTCTTCAGAAAAAAGTACTGATTTACATAGTACCTATTAGATATGAGTGTATTTGTTTTCCCACTCCTTTGCCCATACTTAGAATTATTATTTTTAAATCTTATATATTTAATAGATGAAAATTATCTTATTTTTATTTAAAGCACTTATTTTATTATTAGATTGAAGAATATTTTGTGTTTATTGAGCAATCATACTTTTTTGTGAACTGCCTATTCATGGCCTGTGCTTGTTTGTATGTTATATGCCTTTCTGTCTTTTTTAAAAATATATTTTTATTGATTTCAGAGAGGAAGGAAGGAAGAGAGAGAGAGAGATAGTAATATCAATGATGAGAGAGAATCATTGATCGGCTGCCTCCTGCACGCCCCACACTGAGGATCAAGCCCAAAACCCGGGCACCTGCCCTGACCGGGAATCAAATCACAACCTGCTTCTTAGGTCTACACTCACCACTGAGCCATGCCAGCCAGCTCTTTCCACTTGCTGATACTGACTTATGAGAGCTCTTTATTAAGGATTAGAGGTCGGATGCATGGAATTCAGGCAAGGGGCTCAGCCCTCACAGTCCCAGCTGCCCTGGCCGGCCCTCGCAGCCCCAGCTCCGTCCAGAAGGTCTTCTGGATGGTCATTCTGCTGTTCGTTTAATTAGCACATTAGCTCTTTATTATAGAGGATAGTGATCCTTCTGTTTGCTGTGGTGCAGGTGTTGTCCCATTGTCATTATTCTAAACTTAGAATTGTTTTATGTACCATTTTTCAAAAGCTTTTTCATGAAATTATCTGTTAATTTATAGGTTGTTTCTCATCTTTTGTGAGTTTTAATGCCTTCTCCCACTCCAAAATTATATAAATATCTACCTGTGTTTTCTAATAACATAAGACTTTTTAATCACACAGGTTTATTTTAGTGTATATTGTGAGACAGAAACTTTTTCTTTGAGTAGGTAACCAGTTGTTTCACCACCAGTTGATCGAGACTACTGCTTTTATTAGTATAAAATTTTTTAATCTGTTACTAGGAATCTGTTCCTAACCGTATTTATCTATCATTATGCATTGTTTTAATTATTATAATATGTATAAAGTATATTCTTTGATACTATATATTTTCTGTCATTATGGTTTTTCAGTATTGTCTGTTCTCAACTGTTTATTCTTTTGGATGAATTTTTATATCAGTTCTTTGAGTTTAAAGAAAACCCTGCAACTATGTATACAACTATGTCATATTTATAAATTAAATAGGTAAAATTGAGGCTTTCAGTGTTGATAAATCCCCATTCAGTCTCTCTCTCCACTCAAGGTTTTTTGGGTTTAAGTCTTTCAATATAATTCTGTTGTTTTCTTCACCTCAATGTGGCATGTCTCTCATTATTTTCCTAGATATTTAAATTTTTTTCTAAATAAGATTCCTCGCTGGTCATTTCTGTTATATAATCTTATTTACTTTTCAGGTTACAGAATACCTGTATGCTAATAAAATGGCTTTCCGATACCCAGAACCTGAGGACAAGGCCAAGTATGTTAGAGAAAGAATATGGCGAAGTGAATATGACTCCATGCTGCCAGATATGTATGAATGGCCAGAATCTGGACAAAGCCCTCCTGTGCTACCAGAATAGAAGCGCCCACAAATAAATATTGTCCGTGCTTCAGGGAACCCCTCTTTTCAGACAAAAATATAATGTTCTCAAATTTATGGGGTTTTTTTCTGTGTTTTATTGTCCCCCACTGCTTTGCCAGACTTATTTTTCCCATGAATCTACACTTCTGTGTGGGTAGATGTGTCGACTACACTGTTAATGCCCACTGGCACCCTGCCACCAAATAGCCATAATGCGTTCATTCTGATTTGTAGTTCATAACACATCAAAGAGATGTTAAAAATATATTTTGAATGTCTTCACCTGTGCTCTTGATCACACTTGCCCAAGAATTTGCTATTTACTATTATCTATATATATAAAAGCCTACGCGACCGAATGACAAGTTGACCGGTTGCTATGATGTGCACTGACCACCAGGGGGCAGATGCTCAACACAGGAGCTGCCCCCTGGTCGTCAGTGCACTCCCACAGCCAATCTCCTGCAGCCAGCCAACATCCCATGGCCCTTCCCCTTGGCCGGCCAACCTCCTACAGCCTGATAGGCCCCAATCGCCAGCCAGGCCAAGGGACCCCACTTGTGCATGAATTTGTGCACTGGGCCTCAAATAGGTAATAATCTTTCACTGAGCTCTTTTGAGGGTGACTAATATACTAACTGACTTCTGTGGAGATGAGCACACAGTATGAGGAAAAGCCAAATTTAACCAAATTCTAAGGATAAATTGTCTAAAATGTTTTTATTTATTTCTTCTTCATGCTCTGAAATTCCTCTCCAGTATATAGAGTTAGAGAAATATGAAAAATATACCCTATTATTTATTTCCTAAAACTAAATTAAGGCTTTACTATAACATTGTAAGAGAGAAATGGAAACTACTGCTGCCTTTAGACAAATAAAAAAAAAAGTCATTGAGCCTGTAATAATGTCAACATTAAAACATTTAAAGAGTCATTGTTTTTAACTGTATAAAAATCATAGTGTAACTTTTTTATTTAATAAAGATAATAACTTCAATTTAATTGCTTCAATTATGCTATTTTATTGCTCAGGTAGAAATTTAGCTTTGCTTATTATGAAAAACACATATTTTCATCATCTTAATTTCGAGATGATTCTAAGGAGGGAGGTATAAGATGCATAAATTATGATTAACATCATGACTTTTAACAAATTAGTCAGATGTTTCACATCTAAATTGAGTCATATTTAACTGAAGAAGTCATACCCCTCTTCCAATAGTGATGCTCTACTTGAGATAATTTTGGAATATTCATTCCTACGAGACATTCCTTTGAATATCATTAGTGACAATTCTTTCTCCATTAAAAATGAATTTAATTTTTTGAAGCCATCAAAATTAATTTAGAGCCAAGTGGGATAAATAAGGTAGGTGTTCAGACCGTTTTTAATAGTCCATTTTCATGCCATTTTCAACCCAGTAAAATGGATAATAATTGACTAGTGAGACCAGTTTTTTGTGTGGCTTACAAACTGGAGAGTTCTAAAGGAAAATCCAGAATCATTTTAAGAAGTAGTAGTATGGCTATCTATGTGCCTAACACGGATGCTTTGAAGAAACTAAATTTTTAAATGCTCATTCTACAATATTACTACAAAAAAGTATTCACAACTACTTAGCATGCACATTATTTGACATTTCTCTCCACAGTCCTTGATATGGTAAATATAACATTCTGTAGAGAAAAAAGGGCGTTGTATTTATTTTCATATTTTCCTCTACCTATAGCCAGAGATTAATTCACAATAATTTTGAGTAAATTCTTCATTTTAAGAATGCTCAAAATGTCATTGCCATTTAAAATATGGGGAAGTGCAAATCTGTTAATTTGTTTAACAGTCAGAAGTCTGTTAGATAAATCTGTTTCATAAAATAAGCAACTAGGTCACAATTTGTTTCTTTTAATTAAATATGAAAGGTTTATGTTTTTCATACTACCTTTGTCAAAACACAATCACTCCCAAAAATATTCTCTGAAATCTTGATTTTAGTTTAACATAAATATTACAAACCTGATTTGTGCTTACTGAAGGTAGGAACACATGCTGAATTTTACTTAGTAATTTGACTAAGATGTTCACTTATTAATATCTCTAGTACAGGTCTCATGGGAATTATCAGTATTTCAAGGGGAAAAAAACAAGGCCAAATAACATTGCTTTTTTAAATAAGAAATCTTATATGTATATATTTCTAAGCTTAATTCTCATTATGTATTATTTACCAATCAGTATTTTTAAATAAGTATTGGGTGTAAAGTAATGAAACCATTTTTAATATTAAAGCTAAGAAAATACAGGCAAGCATTCTCATCATGGTGGGAGGGGGGTGACATAATGGCACCAAATTAGAAAATAAGCTGAAACATTTGATTTCTATGGACACATTTACCTAGAAAGGAGGTAATTGTTTTGAAAAACAGGAATGGAGAGTCATTTTAATTCTTTTGAGTAAAGAAATTCTGTAGATTAGCCTGTCAGAAATGACTAAATAGGAAAAAGTGATGACACATTTTTCTAACCTGGCAGCACCACCTGTGGTGTGAAACAAATTGGATAAATAGTGAGGGTAAGGTTTATTGACGATAATGGGGAAAGTGTTAAAGATTTTGATTAAAACCTTTCTAAAGGATGGATTCTTACCCAGAAAGTTGCCTCAGAATCACTGTGAAGCTTCTTTAAGAAGCTTCTTTAAAATGCGGAGGCCTCTGTCCCTTCCTCTGGGCCCCTGGACCCCCTGGGCAGAGTCGTGGCAGGTGTGTTCTCAGCCCACACTTCCCCTGCCCTCCCTGTCACTGCCTTAAAGCAGGTTGTCTGAGTCTCCTGGAGAGCTGGCCCATTCCTCCTGTGGATGCCCTGGGTCTGGGGTGGGACCCAAGATTCTGCGCTTCTGACGAGCTCCCTGGTGATGCCCGGTGATGCCCGTGCTGCTGGTACAGAGAAGGCCCGAATGGCATTGCTCCAGAGTCCTAGGTGGTGTGCATTTTGAGTTCAGTGCTCATAGAGTATGTACTGCACATGAAAAAGATGACAAATTATGTTCTTACAAAGAATTGGGTCCACCTATTTCTGTTACGTATAGTTTTTAAAGGATGTTTATAAGAGCAAAAATTAATACAGAACTTTTAAACATTTTTCTGAAAAGTCATAACTTGAATACTGTTTAATTTCAAATTATTGATTTTAAATGTACTTATTAAAACCTAGCAACCAGTTTTCATTTGTAAAAGATTAGCCATCAAATGAATCTTTGTTTATTCTCTATTTTTGGTTGTCTCATGCTATGACTTAACCTATCCTTTGTCTTTCTTTTCTCTAAATTATCAGCATTGGAGAAATAAGATTTTGCATTCTCCTTTGCAAAGGAGTTACTAGCAAATTAATAGCAACGCATAATCATTATTAAGGGGTGTGAGGCATTATTTACTGCTGAGAGATAACTAAGAAAGCCCAAAGGGGATGATAGGGGAATAGGAAAAGCCTTTCTTTAGAAAAAAATACTTCATCCAAATGCTTCTCTAGCTTTTTTCCTAAACCCATTCAGTATCCCTCAAAGATAATTTCTTCATACAGTTGAACAGCTCTAGTGTTCTGTTGAATTCACCAAAGTGGAATCATCTCTGTTGAGCATACATAATACATGAGAACATTAATATAAATCCCAATGCTCTCTATTAGGGTTCCACTTAAAGCAGTGGTTCTCAACCTTCTGGCCCTTTAAATATAGTTCTTCATGTTGTGACCCAACCATAAAATTATTTTCGTTGCTACTTCATAACTGTAATGTTGCTACTGTTATGAATCGTAATGTAAATATCTGATATGCAGGATGGTCTTAGGCGACCCCTGTGAAAGGGTCATTCAACCGCCAAAGGGGTCGCAACACACAGGTTGAGAACCGCTGATAAAGGGACTGTCTTAATGAATGAAGTAGAACCAATGTCATATTTCCTTCCCAGGCAGGATCACACCTGTTCCGGTGCAGGCACATTGTGACTCCATAGAAAGTCACATTCTATCCGGCTCTCGACTGATTAGTGATTTGCAATTTGATGTGCATCTAAACATTAAAATGAAAGAAATCCTCTACAGACAAGCTAAAGTAACATCCTTAATATTTAAAACAGTCAAGATAATTCAACTGCAGAAAATTTACCACTCATCAGAAGTGAGCATAAGATGTTTCCATTAAACAAAGAAAAAAAATGCTTTTGTTTCAAAATTTTAATAAATTCAACCGGGACTAATTAGGACATGACTCTTAGTGCCTAATTCCTTTAATCCTTGCCAGGAGTTACTCAGATAAACTAGTGATTAGATTTTAAAACAATAATTATTTTCCTTTCTTGGACAAGGAAAATTATGCTTCTCAAAGAGAAAAGTAAGCCCGTGTATGATACAAAAGGTGTTCCTAGTTCAATTGCATAAAATATACAAATGAAGGTAAATGACTGGGATGCTTTGCATCTTTTGCCAATAAACTTACATATGGTTATTTAATTGCTTTTTTCGAATAAATACTTGCCACTTCGCTGTTTGGGAAGTTAGCCCCACATTCAACATACTTTCTAAAGTTTTAAGACTAAGGAGAAATCTATTCCCCAGTGTTCAGTATGTTGTAGAAAAATTGTTTTCCCTTTCCTAATTTTAAGTGTTTATTCTAGCAAATCATTGATTCCTACGTAATCATTGCAATATCACCAACATGTTAGGTAAGCAGTTAGTGAATAATGATAAATACATTTTATGAATAGCACCTACTCTGTGCCGGGCATTGTTCTAAGTATCCTACATGCATCATTATGTTTAGTCTTCACAATCACTTTTGTCACCCCACCTGTTCTAGAGAGAAGGCCTCCAGGCCAGGCTCTCAGAGCACAGGCTCCTAGCCTTAGCCCTTCTCAGGGAAGAAGGGCCTCTGTGCTAGATGATGTTATCTGAATCTTAAATACCTTATCTTCAAGAATTGTTATTTCAGATGACAATCGTCACCTATTCTTTTTATGTATTTTATTTCATTGTTAATCCTCACCAGAGGATATTTTATCCCATTGATTTTCAGAGAGAGTGGAA